TGTTGTTGGACCTAAAATTTTCATGAGATCTTTTCAGTCAGCCATCACAGCCACTCCTATTGCACCTTCCACTGTGATACACTTGCACAGACAAGAAAAAACAAGAAAGATAAGCCAAAAAAACTCTGAGGTACCCTTTGCATATGTACAATAATTACTTTCTGTCCAAAATATTGGCATTCCTGGCAATAATTCATCAATAAATCTGCTTGAAGTATTTTTCTTCCCTGACAGTTCCTGGAGCAGTGAGTCACTCTTACAGTCAGACTTCAAATAATTTCATAAATGAGGTGGTTATCCCATGTTTTTTTACTGTCCTTCTGCACTATGCTCATTTTAGACCCACAGCCGTGATCTGGAATGTCCCATTGTTACTTTGGAAACTTTCCTTTGCACAACCTGTTGGTATCTCCAGTCCAACATGGAGAAGGTTACACAGAAATAAATGTTTATCAAGAAAGATCTCAGCTATTTTAGCCACTGCTGTATTGCTCTAGGCTCTATGCTCCATGAATTAGGCTTTTACTCTGCCATGTGCAACTGAATTCCACTCTCTAGCTGTTTGCTCCTTGTCTACCACAGCATTTACCTTTGGTGGGTGTGATGCCACAGAAGCCAATCAGGGATAGATGCAAACAGCTGAACCGAACCACAAACAATGCTTAAATATCTTGCTGTTCTTATTATTGCTATTACACGGCATCCACTTCTACCCTTGATCTGAAAGAGAGGTGGTTCCAGAGCCTTATCAGCTTGCACCTCAAGCGAATGACCCCACCATTGACCTCACATGTGAAAAATGACTAAGAGCTTATACTCAGCCCGTTCAGTTCCCCAGGGTGTCTTTCTGCTTTTTTAATTGTTTTAGAACTCCTGCTAATTCATGAATGATATAATTTTTCTTGTCACCTCCTCTATGCCACTGGGAATTTTATGGAGTTCATAATATCATTGCTGAGCTCTTTCTTTTCTGGAATTGAAGGGTACGTTATTATTTACAACACATTTATAGGATTTCATTTGCAAAAGCTTTCTTGAGTTGCTAAAACTGAAGCATTTTGATAAAAAAAAAACAGCTTGTTTTACATGCCATGCTTATATCAGAAAATATTTTTTACTATAGGGTGGTGGTACTATGCTAAAATACAGATTACAAAGTATCCTTTAATGTCAGAATCAAACTATTACAAGAGCCTATGACTGAACTCAAATATGCATATCACAGTGCAACGGAATGAGCATTGCAGCTGTTTCAGTATATTTGCCTTTATACCGGAGCAGTGTTCCTTCAAATCTATCTCAGAAAGGAGTTTTTTAGATTAATTTTCAGTTTATGTACATTTAAATATTAAATATTAAAACGAACCATAAAGTCCATTATTAGATGCCATTTTAATTGCCTTTTTTTTTCAGCATTTTTACTGAAGGCTATACCATTAAGTGTTTGACAGCCCTGTGAAAATACTATCAATGTGTAATATCCGAGACTATAATCTATTGTTATTTACACAGACCTGAATCAATTTGTTTTATTGTTTAGCATCTTATAAAAGCCTTTGTGGTCTTAGAAAGCCTTATATACACATGAGCAAGCTGATGAGCCTGCTGTTTTCCCCTGGGTACATTGCTCTGTGATGATAATTTCCAGAGAAAGCTGGACTCGACATCTGTGAGTATATCACTATGTATGATATATTCACAAGCTTTTGTAATTGAATTCCACTGCTTAGTATAAATGGGATTAAATTTACGAGATGATGCAGCAGAACCCTGTAGTCAGGATTCAAGGGTTTAGATGACACAGCACTCTTTTCTGCAAATATGTCTTGAAGAATAATATGGGAGTTTTCAGTACTCTGTAGACCTTCCCTTAATGCAGGACATTTGAAAATGATGGAATAAAAAAAAAAAAAAAAAAAGAAAAAAAGAGTATTTCTGACCAAACATGTTATAATTAACAATTAACATTATGTACATCATCCACTTTTAAAACCAGTTTGGGGCTTGGTGCATATTCCTGTAGCTATTTACAATAAGAGTAACAGAACACTATGTTACTTGATTTCTGTTGTCTATGCCAAAAATGTAAGAGAGAACAAAAGCCAGAAACATCTGAATTCTAAGCCCAGCACTTCAACAAAGATTCTGCCCATTTTCTTAAAAGGTTAATAAATTTTGCATGTTCCAATATGAAATTATTTTGGACTTGGTTAAATACTTACCAAACTCTTCACTGTGTTCGGTGAACTTCCATCCAGACCTTTGTTTAGATGTCAGAAGATGGATTAAGTCCTAATTTAAGACACCCACATTTGAAATGTTCTGTCTGTGTTTCAATGTTGCTACCTTTAAAATGACGAGAATAAATTTAACCATTCCCATAGGATTTTGGGAGGATTCATCAGGATGCACTTGTAAAACTGAAAAGCACTGGTCCTACAAACTTCTTCATCAGAAGTGGTAATCTTGTCTGTTACTTAACTCCAAAGAAATGAAATATCGACTGTCTTCCAAGATTATTTTAACCCTCTCTGCTTTCACTGCAGTAAGTGAAATTCACAGAGCAGAAACCACTTAATTAAAATCTCACTGGACATGGTCACTTTACTACCCAGTGATTTTTTAATAAAATCTTAATGGATAGTGATTTTTTAACAAACTTTTTTCTTTTTTTTTTTTTTCATTTAATAAGAAACCCCCTGAAAATACCTCTATTCATTTTAGTGAGAATCCTTATCTTGTATACAAATGGTGTGCCATGATCCCAGGGACAAAACTGAAAGAGAAATTGAGGTTTACTATCAGTATGTAGGAAGGCTGTATCATTTACTGGCATCGTGGACACATGGTGGGATGGCAGCCATCCCATGGTGAGATGGCTGTAGTGTTGTAATGGTAGGATACAGGCTCTTCAGAAAAGACAAGGAGGGGAGATATGGAGAGGGTGTTACCCTCTGTGTCAATGACAAGCTGGAGTGCATGGAGCTTCACCTGGGGGTGCATGAGAAGGTGACTGAGAGCTCATGGGTCAGGATTAAAGGGGGGTAGGGACTGTTGACATTATAGTGGATGCCTGTAGGTTGCCCAGCCAGAAAGAGTGAATGTATGAGGCACTCTCTAGACAGGTAGGAGCAGTCTCATGTTCACAAGCCTTGGTCCTTATCAGGGACTTCAACCATCCTAATATCTGGAGAGACAGCACAGCAGGGCATAAGCAATTCAGGAATATGTTGATGATAACTTCCTTTTCCAGGTGATAGAAGAGTGAATGAAGAGATGAGCTATGCTGGACCTTGTTCTCACTAGCGTGGGGAGAAAAGGTCTGGTGGGGAATGTGAAGCTCAAAACCAGCCTTGGTCTAGTGGAAGGTGTCCCTGCCTATGGCAGCGGGTTGGATATAGATGATCTTTAAGGTCCCTTCCAACCCAAATCATTCTATGATTCTATGATTTAGGTTTTTGATAAATTTGGGTTTGAAAAGAGCTAAATCAGTTTGGTCATTCTTCTGCTAGCTCAAGATTTCTTTTCTATGATTTATTCATAGAAGGATTTATTAATGGGATGCTCAAGATCAACACATCTGCAGGCTGGTGAGTGCCTTTGGTGCACTGCTGGGGAAACCTGTGTCCCTTGAATGCGGAGATTGTTGAGAAGGACAGACTGGCTTCTGTACCTTTAAAACTTCAAAACCATCAGTTTTCTGCAGTTTAATGTCACTGAGAGAGAGTGTTTCATATCTGCAGAATGACAGTCTCGTTGGTGCCTGATTTGTGTTTTGTTTTCCCCAGTTATAACTGTTATGATCTGAACTTTATGCAATGTTTCTTAACAATTTAAAGAGTAAATTCCATATATAACTTAAAATTAAACAAAACAATTAGGTCATGAAATAAAAAATTATTGCTTTGCATCTGACAGGGACTATTAATTTTATCCAGTAAGGGCTGCAGACACACTGGACATAGGCAGCTAAGATGGAGTGCCAAGGTTGTAAAAAACAAGATAAATGGCTGTTTTGCTTAAACCCATTTGCTGTTGTTGGCCCCAAGATGGGCTTAGCTTCTGGGTGATTTCATAGACTGTATCTGACCCCCAACACTTTCACTTGGACTTATTTTCACACATTTTGAAGTAGTTTTGTTGGCATTCCTTTTTTGTGAATATTGTTTTAAATAATGATTTGTAAATGCATTACATCAGTCATGTTTGTCATGGTGTTTGCACCCTTTGTTGTTCATAAAGGCAACTTAATCATTAAAAACACCACATCACATCCAAGCTTTCTACTGAGATACTTGGCAGTCTTCGGAGGCTTGGCAATGTGACATTACAGGCACTTAAACATCAACTGCAGCTCTTTCACAGGCTGATTGAAAAAGGAAGGGGGGACAGAAAAGGCATTTTTAATGTATGTCTCAGTGTAGGAATAGGAGGATCCATTAAGAAGTGACAGAGAGTAACGTGCTGCAGAGATGCCCAACACAGCACACACACTGTCCTCGTGCCTTGCAAGAAAATGGTTGTACATTTCTCCACAGTTGCTCTGGCTGGTCAGCCTTGGAGGCTCAAGCAATACCTTAAGATGGCGCAGCCCAGGCAAGCTAATCATTGGCAGAGTTGCTGTGACAGCTTCCCAGGTTTCCATTTTATGCCAGAAACTTTATGCTGCTACGGTCATTTGGCCAGGAGTGAAATTGATGTGCCACTTCCCCTCAGGAAGGAGCTCAGGCTGTTGTGGACAATAAGTTCATCTTGTGCCCACTTCGCATTTCATTCATGAGCAGTCAGACGCAGCCGTGGCCCCAGGACTCTGTGCAGCAGAGCAATGCTGGATGCTGTGGTTTGCCCATCTTATATCACCGAAATACAACCGTAATTATGAAGGTAGCAAACTGAATATCCCCAAGCCTAACTGTTATAATCACCAAGTGCTCACTTCCGATGCTTCCTCATCTTTCCAGTTCCCTGCTGTCTTCACCTCTCTGCTACCTCATTTTTTTCTGAGAACAGCATTAGTTGATTCTGCCACTCTGTGAGGCTGCTTGATGGTGCTGTTCCCTGGGGTAAAACGTGGTTATCTTGGTGAATCTGATTTAGGCTCCCATTTCATAATTTTGTTCTCTCCAGCTACAAGAAAAGTTATAATTGGTGACTGGAGATTTTCCTTAGAGCAAAGCATCATTTAGGAGAAAAGCATTTTAAAAGAAAACATACCTCACTGTCAATAAAACAGCCTGCACTCCTACCTGCTCACAAGGTGATTAGTGGTTTTCCATGTGGGGGCCCTGTAAGGACTCACTGTGCATTTGATCTTCTCCCTTCTTGTCTCTACCAGAGCTCCCTGCCCTACCCTGCAGATGCAGGGGCTCTGTCCAGGCCCTTCCTACCCACTGGGAGGCTCACAGCGAGGCAAACTCCAGGTCCGGATAAGCAATATTAACACATCACCTAATGCAGAAGCTCTTCCAAGCTACCAGCTTGCTCTGTTGGGTTTCTGGTACACACACATTGCCACATCCCTCCTCTTTCTGCTGCCCCTGCCTCTTCCCAGCCACAGCATCATCTCAGTATAGCAAAGCACTGAGAGAGCCATCTGAGGACTGCCAGTTTGGGACAGTTCCCCTCCCTCATGGCGATTAGGAAATGGATGCTGTCTGACTGGCTTTTCCTCATAGAATCAAGTAGGTTGGAAAAGACCTTTAAGATCATCGAGTCCAATCTCATGCTCCATTTGTGTTCCACATGGATCAATTTTATGTGCGACTGCTGTTCCATTATGATTAAAAAAATACCAATTTATTTAGATGTGTTGCTGTTTTACGCTTCACCACTTTACTCATTTCAGTTTCTGTTAAGGTGGCAACATGAAATACTAGCACCCTAACTCATAAGATGTATTTAAATTACAGGCACAATGACTGGAGTTGTTGGTGTTGTTTTTTTTTTTATTTTGTTTTGTTTGGGTTTTTTAAGATGTGAAGTTATTGAAGAACCATTTCAGGGCATTTTAATGAAGTTCAGAAATATAAATTTGAAATTTATAACTGGAAAGCAAAAAGAAGGCAATGTAGAAGAAGGACTAGAGACAAGGTCCAACTTTTAGTAGCATATCAAGTAAGGTGAATGGCAATCAGTTCATGTATTCCAGCTGTACACCAGCTGAAGTATGATTTAGAGTACACTACAGCTATTCAGGATCTAGTATGTGATTACACAGACATAAGAAGTATTGAAATATTCTTACGTTTTCTCTCTGATAAGCCATGTAGTGTTGTATATACATTAATAAGCTGTTAAGCCATAGTTATCTTGGTACTCACTCAATGCTATCATTTACTGTTTGAAATATATAAAATAAAAAGTAATTGTGTAATAGTTAAACAAGAAAGGAAAGCATTGTCTCCTGGAAATTAATGACATTTATCCTTTGACTTTTTCTCTTATCTATGCAGTACAGAATATTTGGAATACTATCCCGCTGAAATTTAGTCAGGAAAATACACATACAATATGAGAGCTTCTGAGCTTAAACCTATTATTGCTGAGAGTAATTAACTCCTCGAGTCTCAAACTTTACCAGATGAAATAAAAATTTGATCTATAAAGCACCTTCAAAAAGCTTAAGCGCCCAGCAATACAAGAGGAAACTTCTAAATGTCTGGGATTTTTCCCTAGCCATTGAATCTGATTTTTGCCATGCAGTGGGAAAGTGGTGAGGGAGAAGACAAGAGATGAAAGAAATCAAAACAAGTTATAATGAACCTTCCCAGATCTGTACATGTTTCCCTACACAATCCTGTGATCCTGAAATCACCCTGAATTTTCTTGTCCCCTTCCCCCTCATTTTGGCTGCTGTTGAGTCTAATTCTTGTATCGTGTTGTATGTTAGGTATGTGCTCGTATATACTCTTGTGCATACCTAAAGTGTATGTTCCTTCTGTTCAAGGCAGTGCATTTAGATTAAATTCATGGTCAATTTTGTCCACTAGTTCCTTTAGAGAGCCAGATAATTTAGGAATAGCTTGACAAAGCAAGCTATTGCTTGCATAACACCCTTTGATCAAAGCATTTGCTGGGAAATGGGAGAGCAGCATTCAAGGCAGAGCAGAACTAATACCACTGCTCACATTTTCTAGATGAGAGAGGTGGAAAGAGAATGAGGCAGAAGGCAGAAAACATAAGATTCACAGGGCATGAATGTGTGGGAGCATAGCTTTGTAATCAGGGATGTGGGTGTTCAATCAGGATGGAAAGGTCCTGTGTTCAGGTCTCTTCTTCATAGGCACTGCACAAGTCTATTAATGAAAAGGCTCAGGGTAAAATACAGAAGCAGAGGTGGGAGTGGGTACCACACCTAGACCATCTACCCCTTTGAAGGGCTCCTTCTCCTCACTGCTCCACAGACCTTTGCTGGCTTCTCTGGCTCCCTGCTCCTTGCTAAGTTGCGGGGATCCCCAGCAGAGCCACACAGGTGCCTGTAGCCATCTGCTTGGAGCTGTGACATACCCACAACCCACAACACCAAGGTGGACTGAAAAAGGTGTCACCTTTGCTAAATAATTCAGGAAGCTAATGTGGAAGAGGATGCTTTGAGTAAAATAGATGTTTTAGGAATTAAAAAAGAGCAAGCTGTCAGGTTCCTTATGGAACTTCGCTAGATAAAAAACATCTGTGCAACACTTATATTTATGCAAATATAAGCATGGGAAGTACATGCTTTAGGATATACAAAAGGGGGGGATTATCAAGCCAGTTTGTTGGAAAGGAGCTTATACTTTTAATGTTAGAAATAGCTTGCTGTTTAATGAAATTAAGGGAGGGAATGGAGGAAAGGATCTTTTCACAGTAGTTAGCAGGGCTCATTGAAAGAGCTTTAGACTAAATTTGAAGGTGGAAAGGGATAAAGCCAGGCTCACTAGAGATGAGCCTGGGGTCAGCATGCCAATGTTTGAGGGACGATGTGCTTGCAAGGTCCTTTGGTCTGCTGTTTCAGTAAGGGGTGGAGATCCATGAGGTGGCAATGATGCAAAGATTACTGATGTGTTAGAAATCATGCAAGTGCTTGAGGATGGTCATGTAGGAATGAAGGCTTCTCCCCCAGAAAGGTGGCAGCCCAACTGAAGCACATCTACACCAGTGCATGCAGCATGGGCAACAAACAGGAGGAGCTGGAAACCACTGCACAGGAAACCTATGACAGTGTTTCCATCACAGGAATATGGTGGGATGATTAGCATACCTGGAGTGCTGAAATAGATGTCTATAAACTCTTTAGAAGGTATAGGCAAGGCCACCTTCCTCCATTTACTTTCTCTCCTCTCTCTCTTTGCCTTTCATATAGATTTTGGGGTATATTTTATTATTAGATTTTAGATATAAGAAGGGAAAATTGCTGAAGGAGAAAATTTTTATCAGTAGAGCTTGATATTGATATAAACAAATTGTACATTGACAGCTTGTCAGTATAATCCCAATATTGTTGTTTCCCAGTTTTAGAAATTTAGTCTTAACAATTCAGAAATTTGGTCTTAACAATTTAATTTGAGCAGTTTAATTTGAACAATTCCATGAAGAAATACACTTCTGAAGACTTTAAGTAAGGAGAATGAACTCTGAGTACTATAGGTATAGAAATGCAGTTCTGTTACCCAGAAGGGGAATAATGACCTTATTTGTTGATTAGCAAGGGAAACAAAGAAATGTTGAGTTACTACGTTTGTGTTGTTTGCTGCAACTGTTTTTGATCAATTAGAGTATGAGGTTAAATTGTAATAATTATAGTATAAACTTTGGTAATGTGATAATAAGTATTGATGCAAACTTGATATAACAGAGAGATTTGTGTTGCCAATAATAATTATATGTTTTAATCAATGTTTTAATCAATATGATTAAGAAATGTTTGGGAACCAATACATAATACAGCTAAAATGATGCTTAAGAGGACGGCTTAAAAGGTTGTTCTTTGGTGCTGTCCCTGAGGTGATGTCTCTGGACACAGCAGTGTTATTCTTCTCTTCCAGATGGTGCTAAAGATAAACAAGGCAAGCTGAAGCATTGGTGGAAAAGAACACTGTTTCATTTCAGCAATAAAATGCTCAGATGAAACTGCTTTTCTAAGGCTTTAAGTTTTTATAAGGATGTCAGTGTGATTAGTCAGAGATGATCCTACCACAGGTCACAGGTACTACCCAGTCTGCCTATCCTCAGGGGGAGCAAGGCTTGAGCCTAGGTCTTACCTTCCCCATCAGCAGCTTCTAAGACTTTCCAGGGCTGGATGCTAGATTTTTCCTTCTCTTCAAAAGCCAGCACAACCCTGATCCATCCACAGCTCATCACATTCAAGTTTCTCTTTCATCTGCTTATTTCTGCAGTAACAGAAATGCCTAAGTAGAAGAGATCTGGTCCCTTCTCCATGTTTCTGTATGTGAACAGCTGAAGAGAATAATACGCTGAACAAAACCAGATGGAGATAACAGAGCTTTACTCCTGCTATTCTATGATTCTATTCTATTCTATGATTCTATCTATCTTGGGCTTTACACACAGATCTCCTTAACAAAGCTCCCTTCAATGTGCTGTCAACTGAGAGAAATCTGGCAAGATTGAAAGATTGAAACCTTTTACTCCCAGGAATACTTCTAAAACATGAGAAGCCCTGTGAATTTGGAGTTCAGATGATGAGGAGTGTCTTAGCTCATTTTAATCAGAAAAATTATCATGTTTACTATTTTACATCCCTTGGGTTGTCAAGCATTGGAGCGGACTACCCAGAGAAGTGCTTGAGTTGCCATCCCTGGAGATATTTAAAAGACATGTAGATGTGACATGTAGAGACATGGTTTAGTGGTGATTTGTCAGTGCTAGGTTAATGGTCAGAGTCAATGATCTTACAAGTCTTTTCCAACCTAAATGATTCCATGATTCTGCTTTTTCCTCTAGTTTGCATTTCTCATTTAGAGAGAAATAACTGAACACAATCACTCAAGTGCAATAGTTTTCTTACACCAGAGCAACATTTTTGTAACAAGTCAAAAGATGCTTGGCAGGGCTAGCAATGTCCAAGAGATTCTCTTTTGGATATAATCAGATGCAGATGAAATGCCACACAGAGTTAATTAAAAGAGCTGATTCCAAATTGGGTTATGGTTGCAGTTAATCACATAGATCCTTGCCAGAAGCATATAGATAGCGGAACTTCTTGGCCTCAGATAATAGAACAGATAATTGCTCAGCAACAGAGAGCATATGTCTTTCACTGCACATGATTGTATTATATCGGACAAGGTTTCCTAGGAGAAGCTTTCTTTTTGCATGCTTCTGCCCTATATCTCTCTGTTTAAACCAGTCTTCTGCAAAAGGACCTGGCCATTCAGCCAGCTTCATTTGAAGACCACTTTTTCCAAGATAAAAATGGCCTTCAAGGTCCAAAACCCCATCGTTAGCATTAAAGAAAATGTTTTCTCTCACCTTTGTGCCTTCCCTTTAATTTGCTCTTTCAATCAATATTGCTCAATATCCCACCCACACTACATCTACAGAGGGCTTCTAACTCTCCTTTCCCTGTTTTCACTGGTTGGTTTTTGGTTTTTTTTTTGCCTTTTCCTTTCTCTTTTCTGTGGTATTTCTTCCTTATATGCACAGATGATACCTGCATATTATGCATACCACTGAGCCCAGGTTTGCAGTGCCCAACAGCTAAATACTCAGATCCTGTAGTATCCTGCAAGTGACTTTAGATATCTAGGACTTTTCAGCAGTCCTTGGTGAGCATTGGGGTCCTGTAAGGATCTCACCTTTTTATCAAATACCTTGTGCCTCTTGGGGACAGGAGAAGAACAGAGTCTCAAGGCCATTGGAAATAGGGAAGAAGGAGAATGAAGGTGACAGCTGAAATGGAGAGGGAAGTAGTGTCTGGATCAAGTGAGGAGTTTGTCTGAAATAAATTTGCTAACTTTGGCTTGTAATTGTAATTTATGACTGTTGTTTTTCTGATTTGTGGATTTTTTTGGTTGGGTGGTTTTGTTTTGGTGGGTTTTTCTTTTCTGGTTTGGGTTTTTTTTTCCCTTTTTTGGTTGCTGTTCTTGGTTTTGTTTGTTTGCTTGTTTTCTCCTATTGACTACCAATTGTAATAAAAATCCTAAGCAAATCAGCTTGTCAATTGAGACCCATGCATTTCATTTCAAGGAAAATGTTACATATATGCACAATGATGTGAACAATCCTGGGCATTGGATCAGAGAACAGGAAATTTTATAACCACTGCCTTGGTCTCCCTTTGGCTTGCTGAATCTTGCACCTCTGCTTGTGCTCTAGTTTCATGAGAGTCTTCCCATCCAACTAGGTTGCTGTGAAAAGTGGGACCGTCATTCAAGCACATGTTTGAAAGAAGGCCACCATGGCAGCCATGGTTTCTTCTATTCGTGCCTATCAAGCATTTTACTGTACAAGGCTCTCCCAGGACTGAAATGGAGTTCAGTGACTCTCAATTCTTTTCCAAATCACATAAGACCTTCAGCATATAGCACTAGACTGGGGTGTTCCTGTGTGTTCCCAAGCACCCCAAGGGCTTTGCTATTGAAAACACAAATACCTCTAGGTGATCGCTGGACAAGCATATTTTTGCAGTGTGTTCTTAGGCTTGAGTGTCTGAATTCCTCAAGTCCCATTCTTAGAAGATGTAGTAGTGTATTTCACCCTCTTTTATGAGCTGCTTCTTCAAGCAGGGTAGTCATGGCCATGGCTGCATGTGCATTGATTTGCTCATGCAAATATGAATCACGTAGTCAGACTTGGACAAACCACTCCGTGCCATCAGTGTTTCTCAGCTGCGGCTGCAGGAATTGTTGCATGGTTCCCAGAGTGGGAGTGCTTTCTGCAGAAACATCCTTTCCACTCTGTTCTTAGCCTTACAGCTGCTTCACTGATTTTTTTTTTTGTAGTGCTTTTCGTTTTCCCTATGAATTTCATTACTTTTGGATGTGGTTTTGACTATACCTTAGAGTCTTTTACACCTAGAGCTGTTCAGTACATTAGCCTTTTAAGACCTGCTGTTGAATGAATAATGCACTGCATTTATAGACTATAGTTAGGCTAAATTCAACCATTTTCTCCTATTCCCAGGAATGCAGTGGACATTTTTGTTGCAAAGGCTGGAGGTAACACTAGAATTCTTCCCCAAGAAACCAGCAGGTTCTCCAGCCTGTGTGAGTGAAAATAAGGACTTTCCTGCATTGCCTCTCTCAGAAACTGGTAGGAACTCATAGCTTTCTATATAATTCCTGGCCCTCCACATCCACCCAATCATCAAAAACACCTCATTTCCTAACTCTGATTTAGCCAATGTGGGCTGAGATGCATGAATCTCACTTGAATTGCTATTGTTTGTTTGGTGACAGAAATGAATCAAAGCTTTCCTAGATTGCAGGTGCGGTCGTATTAAAAACCAAAGTGAAAGAGAAACTGTGGTCTCTTTCTGGTGGGACTGAACCACCAAGGCCTGGAGAACTCTTATGTGCTCATACAACTCTTTCCAAGCACTGCCTGAAAAAAAACCTTCCTCCCATCCAAGAGGCTTCTCCAACTCTCAGAGAGAAGATGCGGCCCACACTAAAGCAGGTGATCTAGTATATACTCAAACAGTTTTATTCCTAGGTACTTGAAATCTTATGAAGGCTGGAGAAAGTAAAGTAGGTAAAGTTACCAAAAAGTAACATAGCTCCTAATAAAGGGCTTGGTGATTAAAATGCTCAGAGGATTGTTATACTGCGATAAGAAAAATTCCTTGTGTAGGTATTTCCAGGTATTTCTTCAAGTGAGGGAAAGCTTATGATGAAAATAAGGTCATTGGGTATTTTCTGCTAATGACAAATCCGGACTCTCTGCAGAATTTAGGTAGTTACTGCACCTTGCCAAGTGACAGGTCCAGTGATATAGGGTATGAAAAAAGAATTCATTTTCTGCTGCAAATAAAGTCATCATTCAACTTTTCACCCCAGAAAGTTTCAGCCAAGAAGCTAACAGACCAGCTTGTTACAGAATATATTTACATTTTAACTACAGTAATAAAATTCTGGTAGCATGACTTCAGTGGAAGCACAGCTCTGCTTCAGATCCTATACAATATCAGAGTCTGTGGGATTTGAGGCACTGTGCACATAGCATTGTTCATATTGCCAGTGAACACAAATTGATATACAGAAACAAATCTACATGGTCTGCACTCTACTGCTATTCTCTGCTTTGGAGACAAAGTGCTTAATGAAAAATAAATTGCTTTTATGATAAAACATATTTTAAAGTATAAAAAGCAATTTATATTCTATTTATTTTTTTTTTCTTGCCTGCCACTACTTTATCTACTGTGTATTTGCATTCTACCTCCTACTAAAACCAGATTTAATTGTGCTGCTGTTACTGGCTATGATGCTAAACTCCAACTCTCATCATGGTCTATGGCTTATCATCTGAGGGAGGAAAGAAATGACTCACCTTTTTCCACTGCGATGAATAAACTCATCTCTAGAAGATAAAAGTTGCCCAGACTATTTCAAATCCCTTGAACCAAATGTAATGCATTTTCAAGTAGAGGAAAATTTGCTAAAAATTGAGCAAAATCTGAAACTTTTTCTCCCTGCATAAATTGCTTGATTTCAGCAGGACCAAGTCAGCCTGAGTCAGGGAGCTGTGACTCTATATCGAACCGTATTTTAGCTAAGAAAAAGGGTACAGAGACAATTTTAGTTATGCATGTTGGATGATTGTATTGAGCAGGCACAAAAAACATGCATATGCCAGAGTACCAGCTCTCTGCGTATAGATCTTGTGATTCGTCTTTCCACTAAATTCCTCACAGACTGCATTTGTATCACAAATTTTTGCCTTGTTCTACCTTGCCTTTGCACGTCCTCATCAAAATTCAATTTTATGGTTAATGTAAAATTGTTGTGCAAAATGTGTTAATTTAACAGAGATTATTTGGTAAAAATAATGCCCACAGGTTCTGTTTGCTCTGTCAAAGAGCTCCTCTAAGGAATTAACATAACTTGCAAGCAGAACTCCTGTGCTTTTCTGGCAGTCAGCCCTCTAAGTACTTTTCTTATTTCCAAAAACTGTTGATGCTTTTTCCCTGGTTTGTCCATTTTCATTAGTGTTTAATGAAGTCTCTGCAGACTGTGTTCAGCTGCTGTTTGCGTCATGCAGTTCTGGTACCTTAAGTTATTTTGCATCTACCTAAATCAATCCAGAAATGGAAAATGATGGAGGATTTATGTGTGGCGCTGACTCTGGAAATTAATTAACGTTCCTTCCTATACATTTTCTTCTAGAGCTGTATGAATTTTACATGTCTGATATAAACAAATATAAT